AGGGGGCATTAGAGGGAGCTGTGAGTCCCTCAGGTGGAGCAGGAGGGGCAGCATTGCTCGGGAGATGCCCCCAGAGATTAATTAGAGGCTCTGGGCCTGACTCAGGCAGTGGGACTGTGTGACTCACCCCTGTTCTCACCCCTGTTCCCAGGGAAGGTGTGCAGAGCTCCTGCGTGGGAGTCCGGCCCCAGATCCCATCGCCAGCTCTGCTGGAGGCTCTCCCTCGCCCACAGGTGAGTGTCACACTCAGATGAGGCAAATCGGAACAACTGTGGCTCCAGAAAGCTTTCGGGTTTCTTTTGATTTCCCCCTTTCCTCCCTTGTGCTGCTCTGCCCGGGTTTGTCCACCCCACACTCCCCTGAGCAAACCCAGGCAGAACACGAGATCCAAGGGAAAGCAGCAGCGAGCAGAACAAACCTCGTGGTGTTCGGATTGCTCATCAGCTAAGGGAGGTAGAACATTCTCAGCTTTATTCTCTGACGAGACTCTGGCCTCCCAGGAGTTCCCGGATTGTCCAAAAAACCAGGCACTGGCTACATCAAAGGCCTCCCAGAACAATTAGCAGCCCCTTTTCAAAGCCCTTGTGGCACCACACCTCAGAACTCAGGGCCTGCAATAAAAATAGCTCAGAAATGTTGGGTTTTCCCTTTCCTGTAAACTGCCCATTGCTGACAGAAACACCGACGTTATCCCGACCTCTCCGGGGTTCATTTTCCCTTCCTCGCTCACGCCTGCAGGGTTATGTTGTCCCTGGGATCTGAGTGGGAGCTTGATTCAACTCGAGTCACACCTTTGATGAGTTTTCTACGGCCGTTTTCACTGATTCATGACAAAACGGATGGTTTTAAATAGTTAATCTGCCTAAATAGTTAATCTGCCACCGGTTTTCTGTGCTCAGCCCCGTGCTCAGCCCTTCCACTACTGCTTTAAGGGAGGTGTGTGCTGAGAACGCAGAGCACAACAGCAGCCTGATAAAATATTAACGCTCCCGATGAAATTTTTCCAGAAGGGAAGAGAAAAATCGCCGCCGCTGAGAAGCTCTGCAGTGAGAAAAAGCTTTTTTTTTTTTTTCCCCCCAGCGAAAGACTGTTAAGTAACAGCATTAAATATTGAAGGATGCCGAGGTGTGTCAGCACACAGCCTCCCTTCGGCCCTGGGAGAGGCAGATTTATCTCCTCCTCCGTGGAAATCCTGAAATCCCTGGTTTTGAACCAGGGACGGAAAAGCCAATCAGACCAAATCCCTACTTTACGATTTTTTTAAGCTCTGTCGAGCGAGTGATACAGCGTGAACAGGCCATTTTAAATGTCCCTTTGCAGTTTTAAATGTCCCTTTGCAGTCACTAAAGGGCAACGATGCCCCATCAAAGCAGAGGGAGCCTTGTCTGGGTGATTTTTAACTCCCGAGTGCCCGGGGATTGTCGCACTCTCATTTCACGTTTTCGCCAGAGCTGTTCAGAATAAATAAATAATAAATAGGGGAGCAAAAAGCAAGTCATTCCGGGCGGGCTCTGGCAGCAGTTTGCTCTCCTGCTGCTGTTTGGTGAGCCAGAGGCATCCAGCTCGTTTCCTAAAGAGCATTTTCTGCTTAGGCCGGGGCTCGGTTAATCTGTTCAAGCCAATTCCCTGCAATCCAAACCGTCTGGATTTGGGAAGATCGCGGTTTATTTGGATTGGCTTTGTGTCTGCTGTCGGCGGTACGAGGGATTTACAGTGTAAAGGCTCTCTGTTGGCATGTTCCAGTGACCTGCTGAGTGGCGTCTCCCGATATTTGGGTAACGGCTGGCACAGTTAAGTCCAGCAGGAAAACAAAGAACAGCCAGAAATCCTGGGAAGAGCCGAGCTTGGCTGCAAGGAGTGGGAATAGCTGCTTTTAAGGTGCAACTGGTGCAGGGTAGCTTGGGAAATATTTCCAGGTTAAAGAAAACAAAAAAAAAAAAAAAGGAAAGGAAGTTTATTTCCGTCCTACACGGGGGGATGGAGCTGGAGCTTCCACGGAGAACTGCCAGCCACAATATAATATTGAACCTGGTTTTTTTTCTCGGAAAAGTGGTAAATAATTCATGGGGCTTTGTGTTCCATGAAGAGGCCAGTTGTAAATCGTGGGAGCTGCACCTGGAGATTTCTGCTATCAGCAGTCTCACATGAATTCCATCTCTCCGGGGCCATCCGTTATTGCGAACACAATTCCAAAGAGGAATTATGCACGGGCAAACAGACGAGGAATCTGCAGCCCGGATCTGGGGCTGAAGCTTCGCAACCCAGCCCGGTTGTTCACGGCAGAGATTTTCTGCCCTGGCATCGCAGATCCTTTCGCTCTGCTCAGGTACGGGTGTGTTTTCCCCCCCGGGGGAGCACCTGTGGATGGGAGGTGGAAGGAAACAGCCCTGGCTGCGGTTCCAGGGGCACGGAGAGGGGCCAAAGAGGAATCCAACCGAATTTATCCGGGCGTGGGACCTGCGGGACGAGCCTTGTGCCAGGTGCTCCTCTGGACCGGACCATCGGGGCAGGGAAAAGAGGAGCAGTTTGACTGGGAAAAGAGGAGCAGTTTGACTGGGAAAAGAGGAGCAGTTTGACTGGGAAAACAGGAGCGGTGTGACCGTGCCAGGGAAGCCCCTGCCCGGCCCTGCCGGCGCCACGTGGCATTTACAGCCAGGAGGGACTCCGGGAGTACAAAGGCTGCTGATGCCTCCCCGGGCTGGACTTTACCAGCTCAGCTCTGGGGCACTGCTGGCTGGGCAGAGGTCACATCCTTCCTGCCCCAGAAGGGCGCTGGAAAGGCTGGAGAAATGCTTCCTGGTCCCTGGACTGCTGTGGGACCTCTCCAGAAGAAGGGATCTCCTTTTGCCCTTCTCCCACATCCCGGTCCCATCCCGGTCCCCCATCCCGGTCCCCATCCCGGTCCCCATCCCGGTCCCACATCCCGGTCCTACATCCAGGGGCCCATCCCGGTCCCACATCCCGGTCCTACATCCAGGGGCCCATCCCGGTCCCACATCCCGGTA